CTATATATATATATATGGTTGACAGTTTACAAAGCACTTCTAGATTTGATATTCATAAATATTTTGAAGTAGGTATGAAACAAAAGCTTAAAAAACTTAAAGGACTTTCCCAAGGTCCCAAGGCAATGAAATAACAGAAAGGGAAATTGAACTTTGGACTTCAGAGTAGGTTCAGAGCTCTTCCAAAAGACCATGAGGCTCCTTTAGCATTTATAATTTCAAATCTTTTGGGATGTCACACAGTAATCTTTTTTAGCAGACAAATACAGTATCATGTGAGGAGTTTATTAAATTGTCAACATTTGCGGTCATATTAGAGAAATTTGAATTGAGAAGATCTGTCATGGGCCCAAAGAATCTGAAACTTTACCCTCATTAACCTGTATGAACTAGAAAGTTTAACAATCACTCTTTAATTGACCAAAAGTTAAATAAAAGAGATACTCTCAAGGCATAGTCCATAGTGAGCTGTGCTGCTTTCCCAAAAGTGAGGTCTCTCTGTCAGCCTCTAATCCACCAGAGAATTCACGGAAGAAAGATAAGAAATATATTTTCATGTGATTTATAGCCTCTAAAAACCCACCGGAGGGTCAGCTACGATCTTTATATTGGTAGGAATGAGACATACACTTACAAAGTCAAAGAACAGAGTTAAAATCTTATCATCTTAAACTCAACTGTCTGTCTATCTATCTATAATCATCTATCTATCTATCTATCTATCTATCTATCTATCTATCTATCTATCTATCTATCTATCTCTATCCATCCACACACACCCACAAATGCGTGCATATTACTACTACTGCATTGGGTACTGTCTAGAAGCAATGACAATCCAGAAGTGATTAGAATCCCAGCACACCACCTGTTGTCTCTGAATACAATTTCTGACTTAAAGAATCTAGCATTTCTTAGAGAAAGGGAAGTTTGCAGATTTGTTCGGGGTGTGGGGGGGGGGGAATATAAGGAAATAATTTCATTGTGTCAAAATGCAAGGAAGACTGGCTTTTTAAACAGAAAGCTAATGGAATCTCCAGCTTTAAAAGAGTATCCACTGGCCTAAGAGAAGCTAATTCAAGCAAAAAGAATAACAGCAATGAATTGAAACAAATTACAATTGAACATGTAAGCATCCATAATAGCATGTAAAAGTTATTAGTTACCACTGTGATTACTAGAGGAAATTCAATCATCAACTCATTATTCCAAAAATCACTGTGGGGTCAAGGGTTTATTGTTCAAAATGGCTTTCCTAATCATCAACTTTGAATTTCACCATGTTAGTGGGTGGGAACTTGAAATAAGGTATGCATAAACTAGTCAAGGTTGTATCCTTTCTCTGTACCTATGTGCTGGGCAAATAATTCGAGAAGCTGAACTATATGAAGAAGAATGTGGCATCACAAATAAAGGGAGAAGCATAAGTAACCTTCTTTATGCAGACGACACAACTTTGCTTGCTGAAAGTTAGGAAAACTTGAAACACTTGCTGCAGAAAATCAATACAGATTACACTTTAAGATCAAGAAAACAAAAATCCTTATCATTGGACTGACAGTCAAAATCATGATAAATGGAAAAAAGGTTGAAGTTGCCAAGGATTTCATTTTACTTGTATCCACAATCTACATCTACATAACAGCAGTCAAGAAAATGAGAAGCTCTTGTATTGTGTGTCAACAGGGCAGTCTTAAAATGGAGCCTTCACTCCATTTTAAAGTCTTAACAAGAGTCTGGAATCCATGCCGGATATTTTAAAAGGCTGTTTTTCCAAGTGGAAGTCCCTTTAGCTTTGATGCTGAAAGGACCATATACTCTAAATACAACATTCCTTCTCCCCCAGGCCTGGCAAGTGTTATTACATCATAATCTATTCCCAAAGGATCTTTTTCATTCTTTTCAAACAGATTAAAGATGTAATAGATTGTGTTGAAGGGTCTAGGTCCACAACCAACAATAAAGTAATAAAAAATAAACACCTTATAATTTTGTTGTTTTAAGTGCCGTAGAGTCACACACGACTCATAGCGACTCTATGAATGAAAGACCTGAACACCTGTATAACTTTCATTGTTTCTCCAAATTCATAGAGTTCCTGGAGGCAAGATATTTCAGAAGTGTATGTCACTCCTGTTTCCAAGCCTGTTTTAATTGGAGAGCTCCATCAAACATGGTTCACTGTGGATAACCTAATGTTTACCTTTAACACATCAGTGTCACAGTGTTTAGCATCACAGCAACTAGTTAACTTTGTACAGCAAATGGACAGAACAGTGCTATACCACTTACAAGAATGTTTGACCTACAACAATTAAAACCTAGGGCCCAAATGCCTTTTTAAATAGGAGGCCAAATCCCATCAGCTCACACCCACTTGCAAGTAAACATTTCCCCCAAGCCTCACCAGAACCAGAAAACAAACCTCTGTAGAATCTGGCTGCTCCAAGACAACTTCTCAACCTGGATTCCAGACCCAAACTGGTGACCACATGCCAGGCAAAAAGACTCTTTTACAACTCATAGATACAAGACTTTTTGCTGTTATGTACTGTCAGTGCACTGCTATTCAAGTGGACTTCAAGACGATGTACAACAGCTCTGAACCTCACCCTATCCTGAGCCAGTCTCACGGACTTCAACACACCTACCCCCATTACCCCAGTGATTGTGTCAATCTATCTCATACAGGGTCTTCCTCTCCTGTGCTATCCCTCCACCCTTCCAGGCATGTCCCTCTCCAAGAACTGGTAACATGCCCAAAGTATGTGAGATGGAGCTTCAAAATCATTGCTTTCCAGGAGCAGTCTGGGTTCACCCTCTCCAGGACAGATCTGTTTGTTCTCTTGGCAGTCCAATATGTTCAATACTCTAACACCACAAATCAAAGGCATAAATCCTTTTTATGTCATCTATATTCATTGTCCAAATCTCAAAAGCATACAAAGTGACTGAAAGGTGATGGCCTGAATCAGGTGCACCATGGTCTTCAAACTTCAATTTCCACTCCTCAGTAATTTGGACAGGTCCTTGACAGTGCATTTTCCTAATGCACTATGCCCCCTGATTCCTGACTGCCTGTACCAAGGGTGTGAACTGTGGATTCAAGAGAGATAACAATTTTGACAATTTCAAACTTCTCTCCATCTATCATGATGTTGCTTTCTGGTCCAGGGGTGAGGATTTTTGTCCTATTGATGCTGAAATGTAACCCATTTTGAATAGTGTATTCTTTCACCTGCAGTAAGCTTTTCTAGTCTTCCTCACTTTCAGCAAGCAAGGTTGTATCATCTGCATAATGCAAGTTGTTGATGAGTCTTCCTCCAGAAGAATGCCACGTCTTCGTCGTAGCTTCTCAAATGAGAAATGTTTAGATATATGATATATGAGGTTTCATCTGGACTCTTCCTCATGCCCAACAAACATGAGAGGAAAGTTTACAGATTTCTTTAAAAAAATGTTAGGCATAACAATGACATGGCGGCAAGAGGCTTCATTGCAAACCCAAAGGCACGCAGTTTTTGTGCAACGGTTGTCCTCCCAGATAAAGATGGGCAATCTGCTCTTGTGCAATTAACTGCCTCTGAAAACCTGCTGGAGGGTCAGCTATGGGTCAGTTCCAACTCGACCAACAACAACAGTGTAAAAAATAATAACACACAAGTGATACGATGTTTAGGATTTGCTAGGAGAAAAATGTTAGGAAACTGTAGGAAAAAACCGGGAGTGAGTGATTCCTATCCCCCAAAAAGGTGATCTGATAGAGTGTGGAAATTATCAAACAATATCACTAATATCACACAGAAGTAAAATCCTGCTGAAGATTATCCAAATATGACTTAAACAGTACATTAACAAAGAACTACCAGAAATACAAGCTGGGTTTAGAAGAGATTGTGGCACTGGAGACATTACTGCCAATGTCAGAGAGATCTTGGCTGAAAGTAAAGAGTACCAGAGGAATGTCTGTGTTTAATTGACTATGAAAAGGCATTTGACTGTAAGGCATAGGACACAGCAGGTTTAGGGCTGTTGTACACAGGGTCATTATGAGTCATAAGCGATTCAACGCCACATAACTACAACAACAACAACAACAACAACTATATATCATCATTGTTTTACTTAATTTCATTATTTCCAAGCATTATAAGTGCAATGGCATTCTTTATGCCACTTGAATAAATATGGTACTTTACTTGCTGGGAGAGGGAAGATGAAGTGGCAGAGACTGGACAACATAAAATATAATTTCCTCTAAGGATAAGATATAAAATAAGACATGTAACAGATGAAAAAAATAACAGTGTAATGTATTCTAACTTCAAAAAAAACATTACTGATCAATTTACATGCGTAATCATTAAGGATACACTGTGTTCTGCAAAGTAATAATGTTCACTTTCACTTATAATCAGGTCATCTAGTCTCATTGCATAATAGCACAGCTCATCCTTTTCTCACTCAACACTAAAACAAAGAAACCCACAGAGAATAAAGCAAACCCACTGAGTCAAGTCCTAGTCATAGCATTCTTCCACTGGGTTTCTGGAGTTGTAAATCTTCATGAGAGTTGACTGCTTATAATTCTCATGAGAAGAAGCTGATTGATGTATTTGAATTGCCAAACTTTTGGTTAGCAGCCCAATACATTATGCACTATGCCACCAGGACTCCTTACACAGAGGACACTTACCCATATTTATCTCTTGCTCTCCACCAATGAACATCATTTTTTTCTAATATAACATACTCTTGACCTCTCTCTAATCTGAGATCATGTGCTTCTGTCGCCTGAAAATCATACATTGCTACAACTACTTCTTCACCATTATCTTCTTCTTCAGGAGGAATTGGTGGGGGAGGCCTTCTCTGAAAAAAAAAAAATAAGATAATGTTTAAAAGCAGTCTTCTGTTTTAATTTGGTCTCAGGCAAAATACTCTATGAGTCACATATCACCGTAGAACAAAATAGCATGCTCAAAACTTCCTAATATAACCTCAAGTTTCTTCCTTGGAGTTGGAAGATGTTGATGCTACTGGATCTCTCCTGGGTGGGCTTCAGGATATTGGAGACAAGTAAAAGCTGTCATTAAACAATGAAAGGGAGAAGACCAGGAGCTGTGTGAGCTGAAACCAGCACGACTATAGTTAGACCAATCTTGCAAGTGGTCTGCAGTAGAGTAAGGTACACTACAGGCCCTTCCATCAGTTCACTTTTTAAAAAAAAATTAAATTAACTTCTTATTTCTATTACAAGCAAGGCACACTACTTAAAGCCTAATACTTTTTTCTCATAAACTTTTAATATCTATCCCATGAAATGGAGTTGAATAATTTTCATCTTGCAGTTGCAAAAACAATGATTTAAGTAACTCACCCAAAATCACCTATGGCAGACTATAGGTGCTAGTGGGTACAAAATGTGTCTTTTTCCTGCCACATTTCACTCCTCAAAGGCATTGAATTAAATCACTGAAGTTGTTCCTTTAGCATATCAGTAAGGCCTTAAGTTTGAACTCATCTTTAAAGTCTTACACTACCTACAGACGTCATTAAGCAATAATGTAAAGCCCTACTGATGACACAATTAAATTAATATTATTTGATACCAAGGAGGGGGAAATCAAATAAGGTATTAACTATGATTCAGAGGGAAAACAGCTGTCATGTGAATTGATACAAACACACTCAATAAACGCTCAATAAATGCTTCCAAAAGTTCAAGCCTTCCTACCTTCTTTGTTTCTGGGGCTGGAGGTAGTGCTTTTCTTATACCTGAAAAATGACAACAAAAGAAATCAGGTTAGAGATGCTATCAACCAATAATATCTAAAACGAAAATAATGGTTGCTTTAAGAAAAAAGAATAAAAGGTTGGAAAATAGCAAACAAGTAAGAGCCTTAGAAACTTGGGCCTTCTTTATAATGTGCTCAAATGGTTTTCACCACGGGAATCATGACACCAGGACTCATAGAGCTGAATCTGGTCTGGCTTTGTCCACAATGCAGCATGTACACAGAATGGCCATTTTGTTTGCATCTAGAACTTTTATTGAACAGATCTGACTGATGCAATGAGTATTTTGCATCATGGCAATAGGAAAGGAGAAACACAGCAAAGCCAATCATTACTGTTCTTAGATATTTTATGGATTAAATTAAATTGTATCCCTTTAAAATATCTGTGTAGGAGCTCTGGTGACCTAGTGGTAAGAAGTTGTGCTGCAATCACAAAAAAAAGTGTGTAATGATGGCACAGTGTGCTATGAATTGGTCTGCTAACCTAGAGCCTGGCGGTTCAATTCCACCAGCCACACCATGAGAGAAAGCCAGGATAGTCTCCTCCCATAAAAATTTACAGTTTTGGAGGGGATATATATAGTGAAATAGGAACTCTTATACATTGTTGGTGGGATTGTAAAATGGTATAACCATTCGGGAAGGAAGTTTGGCATTTCCTCAAAAAGTTGAACATAGAAATTCCATATGACCCAGATATTCCACTGCTTGGAATATACCCTGAGAAAATGAGAACTAAGGCAAAAACAGATTTGTATACCAATGCTGACAGCAGGGTTATTCACCACTGCAAAAACATGGAAACAGCCCAGATGTCCAACCACAATTGAATAGATTGAGAAATTATGGTACAATCACACAACGGAATACTATGTAGCACATAGGAGCAATGATTTTATAAATCATTATCTAACATGGGAAGGACTGGAGAGTATGATGCTGAGTGAACTACCTCAGTCCCACAAGGACAAATATTGTATAAAACCATTATTGTATAATAAGTATAAAAATCCAAGCAGGGGGAGGGTGGAAACAGAGGGATGAAGATGTGGAGGGTGGGGAGGGTTAATCATGAGGTTGTACAGTTTGATGGGTGGTAAGGTAAGAGAAATTTGAAGAATCTGGCCTGAAAAAGAATATTTTCAAATTTTATAAATAAACTAATATAAAATAAAAAAAAATATTTACAGCTTTGGATTTACCCAATGGAGGGTAGCTATTAGTCAGCAACCAGAGTTTTCCTGAGAATGGTGCAGCATGGTCTCACTCTGGGCCTACTGTCAGGAGGAACCAGCCTTGGGAGGGAGACAGCCTGCTGGGAAAGGTAGAGAGCTGGCCGAAGAGAAGGTGGCCCTCAGTGAGATGGACCGACAGACACAGTGACTACCACAATGGGCTGGGGCAGGCCGGAGAGCCTCAGGGCACACAGGACAGGGAGAGAGTCAGATCTGCTGCTCTTATGGTCTCTAGGATTTGTAGACAACTTGACGGCACATACCAGTGACAATCTGTTACAGCTAATAGTTGTAAAAGGATTAAGAGTGAGGTGCAGCACATTTAATCCCAAGAGAACCAGATCTTATGCAAAGAGACTTTATTTTCCAAGGAGGAAAAACTTGAACAGAGAGGGGAACATGAATAACACCACCACCACAACAAAAAAGACAAAAAAGAGCTGGGGCAGGGTGCATCCTTTGGACCTAAATTCCTGCACTGGATAACTTTTCTAAGAGGAAATACAGAGAGAAATTCTTTCCCTAGAGCCAGCTCTTCTTAATTTAGACTCTAGCCTCCTAAACTGGAAGAAAGAAAGATATTTTGTTTGTTTGTTTGTTAAAGACACCCCCCAGTGGTATCTCTGTAATAGCAGAGCTAGCCAGCTAAGCGAGCTGCCACAGAACTGACTTTTAACTCATGGTGATCCCCTGTGCTAGTGGGATCAGACCATCAGGAACAGCTTGAGTTTAATTGGCTAATTTTAGAAGTAGACTGGGAGACTTTTCTTCCTCATCTCTCCTAATCTGGAAACTGCAGTGACACCTGCTCAATATCATGGCAACACAAAATTCTACACTGACTGGTAAGTGTGACCAAACTTCAGGTACACTGACAAGGAATCAAATCTTATAGAAGACAAGAATTGTATCAGTGTGCCAAATCCAATCATTATTTTAGAGTACTAAAATTTTACATGTCTGTGTTTTCAGCTTATATCTAAATGCTACTTTTGCCTCCACAGTTTGTAAGGGACTTTAAGGGTCAAAATGAACCCAGGACATTCTTATTCATCAAAACATTCACATATGGGTATCATGATAGTACCTTACTTCTCTGAAAGGCTGTGAAGTCACTGCTAAAATCCACACCATTATGCCCCATTGGGACTTCAGGTGGCCCAGTGGTAAGAAGCTGTGCTGCAATCACAAAGGCATGCAGTTTGAATTCACCAGCTGCTCCGCAGGAGAAGGATGGGCAATCTCTTCCTGTGTGCCCTGAAAACCCACTGGAGGGTCGGCTGTGGTTTGGTTCTGACTCGAAAGTATGCAGCAACAGCGCCCCATAGGCTAAATCCCACTCAGGTTGCAGATACACTGTTATATAAGGTTTCTAGTTACATGCCAGGATATAGTTTATTTATTAAAGTATATATAAGAATTAACATTAAGAAAAAAGCTGCTGTTGATATCACACTGAATTCCCACTTTTAATACATTCATTTTATCAGGCTTAAGTGTTGAGGGAAAAAGTTCCAAAAAATATACTAAGTCCACAAGATGGTCCTTTGCTAACTATAAAATTATTTTTACAAAATATACCAGCTATACCTTTACACTAAGGAGTCCTGCTGGCCATGTAAGGAGTTTTGATGCTAACCCAAAGACCAGTAGTTCAAATCCACCAGCTCTCATACAGTCTAAGCCTCTGAAAACTCACTAGAGAGTCAGCTAGGAGCGGCTTCCAACTTCTTAATAGTAATGAGTTGTTGCTGAGTTGATCTTATACTGTGACAGAAAGCATGCAGGCCATACTTAACCAAAAGAAAATATTTCACAGACAACTATGAGCTATCATCCAACCCCAGTAACAATAGTGAATTTCAACAGAGCAGCAAACAACAAACTCTGGCAAGTCTGTGAAGAAACTGGAACCCTTATTCACTGTTGGTGGGAGTGTGAAATGGTGAAATCACTCTGGAAGGCAGTATGGTGCTTTCTGAGAAAGCTGAAAATAGAAATACCATTTGATCCAGCAATTGCACTATTGGGAATATACCCCAAAGAAACCAGAACAGCCACTCAAACAGATACATGCACACCCATATTTATTGCTGTTTTTCACAATAGCAAAGAGATGGAAACAACCCAAGTGTCCATTAACAAATTAATGGATAGAGAAGCTTTGGTATATTCACACAATGGAGTACTATGCAGCACTGAAAAACAAGGAACTCAACAAATATTCTACAGAAAGGGTGACCCTGGAGGACATTATGCTGAATTAAATATCTCAGTCACAAAAGGACAAATACTGCATAATCCCACAGTTATAAAACAGGACTAATATGGGGTTTGGGGAAAAACTAAGAAAAGATGGGATAAATGATGTACACTACACTGAAAGAGATGAGGGAAAGAACTATCTAAAAGAAATATATGATTAGGTATTATTTGCATGACAACAGTCCAGAATGAGAGGTGCACAGCAAAGTAGACTGGGGGTAGGGGGAGGGAGGAAATTGTGCAACAATGAAAGAATATTTTTAAAGAGAAAAATGAACTGGGGGGTAGGCAGGAAAATGTGCAACACTGAATGAATGGAAATCCAAGTTTTCGGTAAACTTTTGTTAAAATATTAATAAAAAGAAATAAAAACAAAAAGGATTTTATAACCTCATTCTCAATTTTCTAATTACTTAATAAATTAGCCATATCACTCTGACCAGAGAGACAACATAGACATTCTAAATACGCAGTTACAGAATAAATTCAATACTTACTGCTCTCAAAAATGTTATATTTTTCACATCCAGGTGCTAGTTTTTCAGTTTGTCTGCAACACTGGTAACTTCCATCTGCCCAGAATTTTGGATGATACTTAATCATAATATTATTGTTGTTCTTTATTTCTGTAATTCACATGTAAAAAAATGATCAGTGGAAGAAAACAGAGACTATAAAATGTTTTGCTATATAGTCAATCACAATCTATTCCTTTGATACGCCTCTTTTTTTGTGTGAAAAAAATTTCAAAACAGCACCTGATTTTCCCTCCCAAAAGTCACATGTTTCTCATTCACTTCCTTTTTTTTGATGAAGTATCTGTGTTACTAGATGGTCATGTTAGATCATGATGGAAAAAATGCAAAAGTCAGTCCACCACTGTTTTTCTCCCCAAAGTGATGACAATTGTGCAGAACAAATAATTCTTTTAACTATTTTACCTACCAGCCAATTCATCCACACCACTGACTTCTCTGATCAAATGTTAACTACATAAGCAATTTCTTCAAAACTACCAAGTCCTACTGATCATAAAAGTCCAGCACTTTGTCATCTACAAATATGTGAAGGAACTAGGTTTCCAAAAAGGGAAGTTATTTTCAGGATGTTGACATCAGGTACAGTAGCAGTAAGACCTCAATAAGCCGTTACTGAAGATGAAAAGATTATAACTGCCATGGATACATTTTCTGAATTCCTGCTTTAGTCATAACAATGTTAGAACATTTTCTACAGATAAATATTTCATTTTATGAGGTTTACCTTCTTTTAACTTCTTTACCCACCGATCCCTGCTTTGTGCACTAGGTGCAAATATGTAAAGTGTGTTAGCATCATGGACAACCTAAAATAAAAGAACAGATGGAACTGATGAGAAATATATAGACACAGCAGATCTGTCTAGCACAGAACCCTTGGTATGACTCACCCCAATACACTATTGTTGAATGAATTCCAACTCATAGTGACTGTATAGGGCAGAGTATAAAAAGAACAGCAGGTGGGCTTTAACCACTGACCTTTTGGTTAATAGCCAAGTGTTTTATCTGTTACATCGCCCAGGCTTCTTTGTATGTCTCTGGAAGAATGTCAATAATGGGAAGCTAAGTTAACATAATCTCAAGCATCCCAATACTACAGACATCTAATAAGTGTTTCTTTTTTTACAATTATTGGCATTTTTAGAATTCTTCAACCATTTCAAAATTTCCAAAAGCACATTTTGCCAATTTCAATAGTTGTTGTTGGTACCATCAAGTTGGAATTAACCCATTGCTGACCCTCCAGCGGGTTTTCAGAGGCAATTAATCACATGAAGGTTTTCCATCCTTCTCCTGCTGGGTGGCTGGTGGTCTCAAACTGTGTGCCTTCAGGATTACAGCACAACTTATTGCCACTAGGCCACCAGTTTTTTGTTACTGTTGTGTGCCACTGAGTTGCTTGCAACACATATAGTGACCCTATGTACAACAGCTCTGAAACCTGCCCTGCTCTGAGCCAGTCTCAGTGACTCCAACACACCCACGCCCACCATCACAGTCACTGTATCAATCCACTTTATCTGGGTCTTCCTCTCCTGTGCTGTCCCTCTATCTTTCTGAGCATGATGTCCTTTTCCAAGGACAGTCCTTCTTGGCCACATGCCAAAAGTATGTGAGACGAAGCTTCAAAATTCTAGCCTCCAAGAAGAAACTCACCTTCTCCAAGACAGACTTATTTGTATTCTTGGTTTTCCATGGTATGTTCAAGACTTCTTCAGCACCACAAATGAGAGGCATTGATTCTTCTTCTGTCACCCTTAGTCACTGTCCAGCTCTCTGATGCATAGCAAGTAACTGTGAAAACCATGGCCTGGATCAGGCACACCTTAGTCTCCAGAGCTACATTATTGCTTCTCGGTACTCTGGAGCAGTCTCTGACAGCAGATTTTCCCAGTGCAATTCATCTTTCGATTTCCTGACTGCTGGTGCTAAGAGTGTTGACTGTGGAGCCAAGAAAGCTGACGCTGTTAACATCGCCAATTTCTTCTTCATCTACCAATCGGCCCAGGGGTGAGAATGTTTGTCTTATTGATGTTGAGCTTCAGTCTATATTGAAGACTACAGTCCTCTAGAGTTCCAAGAAATGTTTCTTGAATCACAAAAAATCAATTGTTTTCGATTCAAAGAACCTCTGCTCTTTTCTTACAAAAGTGTATCTAACTGGCTTATGTCCACATTCGGTGAGATACACATTTTATAAAGGATTGTGTTTTATAGAAGAAAAATACAAAGATGCTTCATTAATCTCAGTATTTCTTTTAATCCTCTAATAAATTGCTGGAATGGAAATTACCCCAATGCAGGATTTTTTTAAAATAATGTTGTAGATAAGTTGATTACACTTTCATTAGTTCTTCTTTTGCCACAACAAATAATCACAGTAGCTAACTTCGTTAAGCAATTCTTGGAAAAAAGGAATTCAGGAGGCAAACTGATACATCTGAACTGTGGCAATGGGAAAGTATACTGAATTCACTAGAGAAGCCAAAAGAATGAACACATTACTATCACAAGCAGTAAGTCATTAATAGTGCTTCGAACTGCAGATAGTGAGACTCCCTGACTGAGTCTGGACACATCATAAGGAAAGATCAATTGCTACAAAAGGACAATGTTGTGCTTTAGAAAGCCAATGGAAAGGGGTAAGTCTCATGAGAGAGCTTGACATGACAGCTTAATGGACTCAAACATACCAGCGATCATGGAGATGGCATAGGATGTGGCAAGGTTTCATACATAAACTCACCATGAGACTGAGCTGAAATGAGATAACCAACAACTGTATTACGTACTGATTAGTCTAGCTCAAGGGAGCCCCTGTAGCGTAGTGGGTTATGTACCGCACAGCACAAATCTAAAGGTCAGTCATTTGAACTCGTCAGCAGTCCTGTTGGAGAACCATGAGGTAGAGTACTCCCGATACAGTTTATAGTCTCAGACACCCTGTGAAGGGTGACCATGCTCTGTTGTTGTTGTTGGGTGCCCTTGAGATGACTTTGACTCATAGCGAACCTATGAACAACAGATCAAAACTCTGCCCTGTGCTGTGCCATCCTCATGCTCTCCATCATGCTCAAGCCCATTGCTGCAGTCACTGTGTCAATCCAAATCACTGAGGATCTTCTTCTTTGCTGATCCTCTTATTTTTCCAAAAATATCACCCTGATTGCACTTTCTCCAAGACAGGTTGGTTTGTTCTTTTGGCAGGCCATGGTATATTCTCTTCACCAACACCACAATTCTAAGGTAATTCTAATTCTTTGATCTTCCTTATTCATCATCCAGTTTTCACAATGCCTAGGAAACAAGTGAAAATACTGTGGCATGGGTCAGGCATACCTTAGTCTTTACACTGACAACCTTTCTCTCCAGCACTTGTTGACAGTGGATCTAAGTTAAATGAAATCATTGACAACATCAATCTTCTCTCCATTTTACATGATGTTGCCTATTGGTGCAGCTGTGAGGGTTTTGTTTTCTGATGTTTAGATGTAAACCATATTGAAGAAGTGTGTGTGTGTGTGTGTGTGTGTGTGTGTGTGTATGTGTGTTCATTCGATCTTTTTCAGAGTTTTAAGTCTTCTTCAATTTTTGCAAGCAAAGTATGTCATCTGCATCATGAAGTTTCTTTATGAGTCTTCCTCCAAACCTGATAGCAAATTCTTCTTCATATGGTCCAGCTTCTCAAATTATTTGCTCAGCATACAGATTGAACAGGTATGGAGAAAAGATAGAACCTTCAAGCCATGCAGTGTTCATTCCCTTGTTCTGTTCAACTGCTTCTTTGTCTACATATAGGTTTTGCATGAGCACAATTAAGTTACTGTGACTGGGAAATAATTTGATACAGTCAGTTTAGTTTTTTATTGCTTGTTTATTTAATTCAAGCCCTAAGCTGTGTTCTTTAAAGTGCAACAATGAATGAATGGAAATCCAAAGTCTCTGTAAATGTTCATTAAAATGAATAATAAATAATAATAATTTAAAAAATATTTAAAAAAGAAATTGCACAGATGTTATATTTGGTCTCAAATCTCCAGAAACACCATCTCCCTGGGAATCCCTGAGTGCAATGAGAAATGACTCATTAAGGAGGCAATAAAGAGGCAACTGGTTCCTCTTTATTTCCTCTGTGAGTCACCTGAGAAAAATGCAGTTTGGCCTTTTGTATTGATTCCTGAGAGCTGGACCACACCTACCACTAATAAGTGGAGTTTTCCCAGAGCAGAAGGGAATACCTGGGAGCAATCTAGTAGGGTCAGGTAGGGAGGCCTGAAATCCATAGGCCACCCTATGCGTCTCTTCATTTGTATTCTTTTTGATTGGAATACAAGTGCAACTCTAAGTATGGTATGCTGTGAGTTGTTCCAGTGGATTGTTGAACCCATAGAGGCAATAAGAATCATCAGGGGCTGTCATTTAGCAAACGCTAGTTGACAGTCTGAAAGAAGTTCCAGTAGCTTGCTGTTAAGTGCCATCAAATCAAATATCACTCCAGCAACTCTACAAACAGATCTGAACCATGTCCTATGCTGTGCCATCCTTAACACTGCTGATATACTTGAGCTCACTGTTGTAATCACAGTGTCAATTTAGCTGATTGAAGCTCTTCCTCTCTTTCACTGACCCTCTACCTTTCCAAGCATGATGTCCCTTTCTACAGAATAGTCTCTTCTGGCAAAATGTCCAAAGTAGGTGAGACAAAGCTCTGCCATTCTTGCCTCCAAGGGGCATTCTGACTTATATATATTGTTCTTTTGGCAGGTGATGGGATAGTTGGTATTCTTCTCTAACATCAATTCTTCTTCTGTCACCCTTATTCACTGCAGATTCCTTCTCAGATACATATCAAATGCTTGAAAAGACAATGACCTGATTTAGATGCATCTTGGTCTTCAAACTAACATCATTGCTCCTCAATACTTTGGAAAGGTCCCTGACATGGGACTTGCTCAATATATGTCTTCTAATCTCCTGATTGCTGGTGCCAAAGATGTCGACTGTGGATCCAAGTAAGATTGAATCGCTGACAATTTCAACCTTTTCTCCACCTATCATGATTCAGTGGTGGCCAAGTGGGAGGAAACTACACTGCCAACACAAAGGTATGCAGTTTGAATTTACCAGTTGTTCCACAGAAGAAAGACCAGCAATCTCCTCCTGTGTGATTTACTGCCTCTGCAAACCTGCTGGAGAGTCAGTGATAGGTCGATTCCAACTCACCAGTACACAACTAAAGCAAAAGCACAGTCATGTGGGGAGGTTCTTTTAAAGTCAGAAATCCTAAGGTTCAGCTGAGCTTCTAGGTAAGTGACTGGGTGGGAGATGGCAGTTTATCCCTCTATGGGCAAGAAAACGTCATGCTAGGATCCCTTTCAGAGTTCATGCTATGAATGTCTTCATCTATATTTTTTTATGATAATAAAATTATAACCATAAGTATGGTGCCTGTGAGATTCTGTGGGTTGTTCTAGTGAATTGTTAACCCACAGAGGCAAGGAGAGCGATCAGAGGTTGTCCTCTAGCAAATGCTATTTGTCAGTCTGAAAGAAGGTATCTTTCCAACTTGGACTAGGGAGCTCTGGTAGCCTAGTGGTGGCAAGAAGCTGCGCTGTAATCCTGAAGGTACATGGTTTGAATCCACAGCTGTGGGAAGATGGGCAATCTCCTCCTGTGCAATTAAATGCCTCTGAAAACCTGCCAGAGAACCAGCTATGGGTCGGTTCTGACTCAATGGTACACTACAACAACAAGCCTTGAACTCTGTCTAAGAAACAAGGGTCTGAGAGAGAAAGGGTGGGTC